AATTTGGCTAAGATAAAGCTTTAAAAGTTTGTTATTTTTTGAAAAAGAAATACCAATGCAAAGATTGGACAAAGGACACACTAGTTCAAGAATAAATATCAAATGTTATTTACGAGCCAATTTTTTTGAAAAAACATGTGCGGATGATTGCTATGCATTGGTGTGAATGATCTCTTATTTAAAGATACTCGTGACCTCTGAAAGTTCAAAAGACACTTTTTGAAATTTAAAAAAGAGGTTTCACATATCACACTTTGATAACATTGGGTAAGACTACAATATAAGCCAAAGAAGTTTAAAGTTAATATGGGGCCTTTAAAAATGTCAATGTTAGCATTGTGTTTCAATGATGAAAATTATTTTGACAGTCAAATCTTAAATGAAACAAAGGGTTTAGAAGATAATGTTAATCCCCCTTTAAAATAGGTTGCGTTTTAGGGGGTTAATCAACTATATTTCCTCGAGTTATAATTTTCACCAATAAATACTTCTTTAAATACACAAATTAATCTAACTCTGGTCAATTTAAGCTACTAGATAGTATTTGTGATGTTCTTATGTGTTAGAAATATATATTAAACATTATTTTAAATATGAGGTCAAATTGTAGAGGGCGTCACCTTTAGGCCCAATTTCTCTTTTCAATTTCTTTTTCTAGGGCCAGGACCCACTTAGAGTGACCTAGGTCACACAATATTTCTCTAATTTTGGCCTTGCTGCTGACCTATTACACAGTCTGTAAGTTTTGATAAATCTTGCATCGGGCAAAACTATGCTATGGCATGAAATGCAATTTTAGTTTTGGTGCAACATGTATCGTATTTAATTTTGATTTCAACAGTAAATAAATGTACCTAGATCTAACATAATGCATCACTTCATAGTAAAAAATATATATCTGGTGTCCCAGAAAATGAGACACTTTTTGACAAGTATTTTTTGGGCAACTGATGAACCAAATTCACTAAAAATTTGCACAAAGTAGCCTAAGGGTATCATTTGCAAGTTGTAAAAATCTAAAAAAGATCAAACAAATATTCTGTGATCAGTCAAAATAGCTTGTCTGTGTGTCATGACTAATTAATTTGTTTCATTCTTCCGAAATATCCAAAATCCATTTATTCTCAAATTCATTGGAGATGATATTGTTAGAAAAAATACGGAAATGTATTTTTGCTTGGAAATGGGTTAAAGCTGGACTACGCTCCGAAACGCAATCTTGGGTTGTTTCGGGGGTGAACTTTATCATTTTGAGCTTAATGAAAGATTATAGAATGATGAACAAATGGGGCAAATCTTGTGTAGAAATACTTACGATAAATGTGTCATTTCAAAGAATTTTCATTGAATTTGCTTCGATCGGTGCCGGCGATATGATTTTGAAAAGGTTTCTAAATGAAGAACGTGACGTCACTTCCGAATCATAGCTTTCAAAATAAGTAGCGTTTAATTACTTCCTCCTTTCATAATAATACGGTGGTGTAGCGGGTAGAATCCTCGCTGAGCACGCCTTTTTATTTTTTTAACTAAATGATAGTTCTTTGATATTACGCAGAAAAAAACAATTTTTATTTACATAAACTTTATATTAGAGCTTGAAACTGTAAAAACAATATATGTCAACATATTGCGTTTTGGAGCGATGTGCAGGTTTAATAAGTAACTTTTACACTGATATTGGATATTTTGACATACTGTGTTTAATTTACAAATACACAAATAATATATGAGCAATTGCTTACATATTCATAGTGCTAGCAGAAGAAGAATTTGGTTCATCTATTCCTGTTTTTTTTGGTGCAAACGATATAAAGTTCTCAGTGCGTTGCTCCGGTATGGGATATTTTGACATTCTACGTTGAATTAATTAGTACTCACATTTACTTGATCTTTTTCATAGTGTTATACGTTGCTAATGATACTCTTGGGCTACTTTGTACAGATTTTCAGTGAATGTGGTTGCCGAGAAAATACTTGTCAAAAAGTGTCTCATTTTTGGGACACCCGATATATATAACACCATGCTGTATAATTATTTCATTGTAAATATGTAAACTTAAGGTCAAAATTAATCATAATGAATAGTTTGCATATTTTTTCTAGAAATACCAGAAATTATTTTTGCTTTCATATGGTACCAATGTCATTATGATCTCATAATGATTAATATAAACTGTTACTATGGAAACAAACGATTAAAATAATATTTTGCCTAAAAATCTTAAACAACACCAGTGCATCCGTAAAGCTCAATATGCAAGCTTTTGATCAGTATCAAAGCCCAAAAATACCTTCTACCTTTCTCATTCAATATCTGGATTTGTTAAAATTCTCGATACTAGATACATGTGTTTGATTTAGGCCTCTATCTTTTTGCATAATGACATCAAAATCACAATGATATTGTTTGCCTGATATATAAATACATGTAAGTGTTGTAATTCAGTCACGTATAAACACAAAATAGTTTATCTTCAATACTATTAGGCTACAAAAGCACATGATATTTGTTTGTATTTTGTAAAATCACCAAAAATCGAGCGTTTCTATTTCTATGACATCACAATGATCCTGAAACCTTGAGAAATGTGTTTTTTTAACAAGTTTGTTAAATTAGCTTTACAATGATAGTTTTAATATGATATATGGTCAAACCGTTCTCTAGATATCTTCAAAAGTATATTCCTGGACTTAATAGTGACATCATTGCAGTTACCATGGAAACCATCATTTTTAGAAATGTTCTCACCTGTTTTGATTTATTTTAGTCATTAGGCATGTTAACACAGATGCTAAGCTTTCCAACAGTACCATGATTTGCCAGTAACCTTTTCATTGATATATTAAACATAACATTATATTGTTGAGGATTTTTTAAATTATATTATCATTGAAAATGTATAAATGTATAAATGCCTCAAATATATCTTGATTTGTCAAAAATCTCGATATTAGATATTTGAATTAGGCCTCTATCTCTTTGTATTATGACATCACAATCATAATGATACTGTTTGCCCGATAATATACATATAAGTGTTGTGTTAAGTCACTTTTAAACACAAAATAGTTTTATTAGATAATGTAGCTTACATTAGCATACGACACGTGTCTAAATTCTGTCAAAATCACCGACAAATCAAGCGTTTTTAGTTCTATGACATCACAATAGGCCCGAAAATCCAAAAAATATGTTTTTCCAAAGGGTTTTTTAAATTACCTTTACAGTGGTACTTTTATCATGATGTATGGTCAAAGCGTTCTCTATATATGTTCAAAAGTATATAATTTGTCCTTAATACTGACAACATTGCAGTTACCATGGAAACCAGCATTTTTAAGAACTTTTCCACCTGTTCTGAATTTTTATAGTCTTCAAACATGTTAGTGCAGGTGTTTAGCTTTCCAACGGTACCAAGATTAGCCGGTAACCTTTTGGAGGTTTAAACTTCTTTATTTGAAGACTTTATGAGATCTGGCTACTCATCTATAATGCCTATTTGACCTATCATCGCCATTTCCCAAGTTCGCCCGGTTTCCGAGAAATTGCATTTTCTTTAACTTCTAGACACTTTGTTGAAGTAGAACTTTCAAATAACTTGTAGTCGTTGCTGTATATGCAACTTATGTCCTCTGAAGATTTCAAAGCTCTTGGAATTACAGTTTTTGGTGTTTACTCTATAAACTTTGACAAAAAGTAGGACATTCATTTTCAGGAAACTTTCTTATGTATAAAGTCAGTGGCAGGTTTTGTGATTGACAAGTTTCTCAAAGTTTGCCTTATACTTGATCATTTCTTGCATTGAATTACATCATAACTAGATTTAAGCATTCCCTACATATTGCTTAATATATGTCATCATCAAAGTTTTACCGTTTTTGAGATATTTGACGTCAAAAAACAGTAAAAATAAGTTATTTTTCAACTTGCTTCAATTTGACCAAATTTTTTTTGAAAATCATCTACAAGTTACCGGGAGATCAAATCTGACATTAGTTTTAGGATTTGACCTTTACCTGACCTTCAGTGAGCTTTGAAAGGTCAAAAAAGTTGATTTTTCAAATTGATTTTTGGATGTAAATTTTGGTCAGCTTAATCACATAAGACCTTACTGAGCTCTAAATAAGTAAAATTTTCAAGGTCAAAGGTCATCAAACTAGGTCACACAACTGTGCTGTCTAAGTTTCTCAAAATTCGAGACTACAAATCCAAATCAATATTTTTGTTTGAAAGTCAGGATATACATTCCTCTGAAGGTTCCAAACTGTGTGAGCACAGGACCGTGGGTCCTATTTTTAATATTTTGAGCGTGAAGCAATCAAACTAGATGTTTGATTTCCTACAAAAGATATCCTCATTTGAAATATTCCCGATTAGTAATCTGAATCACATATAATTTGTGTCCTCCTATATAAGTTACATTTGTTCAGGGTGTTTTGACGAACCAGACATATTTCCTTGAGCTCCACCTTATAACAACGCGTGTAATAGCGCGTTTCATTTCTTAAATAGCCATCATGCATTTTCTCAGACAAATCTGGGTGCTTTGGCAAAAACGTGTACGTGAACGTGAGACTCACTTATGCTCGTAGGGATTGGTTCCCTCCTTTCAACATGTAGTATTCACTTTTTCGTATTTAAAAGGAATATGATTGCCGCTATTTGTCCTAAGGTTCCAATACCACTGGTGATCCGCTCGATTACGCTGGTTACCGAAACGGTTCGCAACGCAACGTCGAAGGTAGGATTTTTCTTTTTTCCCTATTTTACGCGTTGAAGGCAGAATCCCCATGACATTTTTTTCTCACAAACGTGTACCAGTATCATATGTTTTAGAAAATGTATGAATGTTTGCGAAAAATAGCTCAGAAGACAACAGAATCGTCGATTTAATTCCTCATTTAAGTTATATAAACGGTATGGGTTAAAAGTGCAGATCTTAACTGTTTTTCGAAATACCGTTTAACACTGTTAGTCGATCTATGTGGATGCAGTCATTTATATGTAATGTTTCGTGGGTACTCGCGTACATTATAGGGAATGGGATCATTGCAAAAATATGACAGCAAATCAAGGTAAGTGATCTCAGAGATTCTACTTAACATTGTGACTTGAAATCTTGCATACATATTCAATATACATAGTATGACAATGTGTGAAAGTTTCAGCTACCATATTCCTGTTATAGGGAAGATATTTGAAAAACATTTCGTAAACGTCAACATATATGTATAAAATGGATGTACCTATGTATCATTTGGATTCAGAACGGTAACAAATGGATGCTTTAATAAATTATACTTTTATCATGATGATTTATTTACTGATGGACAACTGGCCAGATTTTCTTTGTATCCATTGTTTGGATAAACATTCCTCATTCAGGAAAGTAATTAGCCACCCCACTACAAGTAGTCTAAAGACACACTCATGAAAAATACTATATATAAACCCATCAACTGGAAAATGCCATTACAGATGAAATAAAGGACCCACGGTCCTTTGCTCTCACAGTGTAGAACCTTCAGAGGAATGTATATCCTGATTTTCAAACAAAAGTATTGGTAAATATGAGATCAATAAAAGATGAGTCCTTTGTTGTTGGTTCAGATATGATTTGTAGTAGTCAAAGGAAAAACTATGAATTTGACCTAGATTTTGACATAGGCCTTTTAGTGTCCAAATTTTGAAGGAAAGTAGATTTTGAGGACGGCTTCTATTGTAGATTCTTATTAAGTTGGCTGCATCCAAGCTGTATCTAGTGTTGTGTTGTTACAATTGATAATTTTCTCAAGCCCCATTGACTTAACATGGGATACCAAAATAGCGATTTTTGAGATTTCAAAATGCCATAGCTTCCGACCGGAAGTCGGATCAAAATCTTGTTTGCAGATTCAGATTCCTTGGACAATTCTTCACATATTTCATAGCTCATACATTGAATTCCAAGAACTTTTTTTATTGTGACCTACTTTTCGGATGCCATATCTCAAAAACGGTAAGAGTGATCAAAAACAAGTTGCCGGTAGGGATTAGCTTTTTTCAAAGGAACATGATTAAAAAAACGGAGCAAAAATATTAAAGGACGACTGAGAAAATTGAAAAAATGACAAAATACTGGTTTTGACCTAGTTCTTGACCTTTGACCTAGATTAAACCTGATTAGACCTAGATCTTGACTTGGTCCTGAACTGGACCTTGACTTGGACCTAGACATGGACTTGGACCTGAAAATGGACTGGACTGGTATTTTTTCAATCTTTTCTTCACTTCTCTTGACTTTCTATAAGGCTATCATCAGATCGATTTTTCTAGAAATTTAAAAATCAGCAATTTCTCGGAAACCGGCCGAACTTGGGAAATGGCGATTATATGTCAATTATTCATTATGGATATGCATAAAATGAATGTGAAAATGACTCAATCCGAATAGCAGTTCTAATTTGTGCAGCCAATGTTGACAGACGGACGGAGCAACGGATGGACGGACCAATGGACGGACACCTGGTCGATCCCATAGGCTCAAAAACCATGGTTTTATCGCTAATACTGTTAATTTGAAAAACGGGTCCATAACATGTAATGATGACAATGAAAATGTTGAAATTAGGTACGCCAATGAAGTGAATTCAGAGCAACAGACCCATCGACCCACTGGAATACCCACAAATCAAGTTTCATAGCCTTGCCCAAGTCGGTCTCTTTTACATTTAATAACATAATATATTGTAACTCTCAAGAAACACTCGATCAAATCATTGAGTTTCAAGTCCTAGACGGGTAGTTTGCTTTTTATGCAGGTCAACCTGATAACGTTTTGATTGGTCAATCAGCCTGAAGTCACACGTTGTGTCCATGTCCATATTGTCAATCAATATGGTTTTGCGATACCCTTAGGTAGCCTATAAGGTATTATGGGAATCTCGGAACCGCTGAATAACTTAGCATAATATCAGCGATGATGCATTGGATTGTACTAGGTGGTAATAATTCAAGATCAGATGAGTAAATAAATACCGACTTGGGCAAGGCTACAAGTTTCAGAGCCATTAACATTCCTTGAAAGTGACAATGAGCAGCCAACAGTTGGACCATCCATTGATTTTGTCAGCTCAGCTGAACGAGCCTCCAGATTCCTTGAAACAAATGACCATAATTCAAGAATAATATTATTTATTTACAATTTTTTGAAATCGTGGTAAGTGGAATCTTTCCAATTACCAATATAGCGTTATTATTGTTTTTGGACACCGTGGATTAAAATATTAAAAATACACACATTCAAAATGATTCAATTGAAACCTAGCCAGTCTGTTCAATGAATCCAATCAGAACGTCTACTAATCCACATGATACATCATAATTAAATTGCTTTTTTAAAGCGGATATTTCATAACATAACCCCAAAAATATTATAGGACGCATTGTATTTGTATTTTACTTCACACAGACATATTTGTGTTTGTGAAATAATTATATTACTTGAATTTTTTATTCCCCATTACAAGGTAAACCTATGGCAAATTATACATACCTTCTCACAGCTATGAGCGAGATGATAAAACTGGTCGAGTGAACTCGTTTGAGTTATCTGTTCTTCGTAAAAATATCAGAGAATGTGTGTTTATAGTGTAGCTTTGGTTTTCTATTTCAATGAAGTATGATATACACGGATGAGTAAATATAGATTATTTAAACAGAAGTGCAAAATTCTTCCATTGAAAAGTACAGAGGCGGGTACTCACGAAACATTACATGTGCCTGACTGCATCCACATAGATCGACTAGCCACAGTGTTAAAAGGTGACAATGTCAGCTTTGAGGATCGGGCCTGCTTTTGGATGTTTTGCTGGTTACTATGTCAGACATCTTGATCATACACTAGCATGTTTCCTGGGATACTAGATTTATTACTATGAAATATAAAATCATTGATAAAAATTTTTGATTTGAAAAATTATGATTCATTTCTTATCTCATGAAAGGGTTAATTTCTCATTTTTGTAAGCAGCAAAGATCCAAAATCAGGACAGATCCTTAAAGCTGACATTCTCACCTTTCTAATGGTCTATTGAACCTTAGGAGAAATAGCGGCATTTATTTTTCATTAAAATTGTTGTCCCTGCTGAACCTTATTGAGAGGGTATGGTTATCGTAGTACTAGTCATAATATAACACGTTTACATACAAGTTTTTGTGTGAAAATCGTACAGCTTAACCTCTCTATTGAATCTTGGATGCGATTTGTGTCACACAAACAAAGATTAGCTTAATTCCTACTAATTTGTCTTACCTTAAACATGTTAGAATATATTTTTCTCAACGATTTCACTGAGGCTGGATTACCCTTGGCTCTCCAAATTCCTATGAGATGCTCTGAGAAAGATGTTGCTTTGACAATTTCTGAGAGAGGGTTTTCCCTTCCGGGATTTGCTAACTCTCCGATGACCTCCAATATATTATCACCAGATTTTCCATTCAAATTACCTAAAATGAAAATTGACAGCTAGAAGTTTCAAGTTTGTGTGTTTTGAACTCGGCAGGTGTGAGTTGCGCGCTGAAGGCGCTTGGGAGATCACTGTGTTACAATGTTGCAGCTAAGTCATTGCATTTATGTGGAGTAATTCCTTGTGTTTTTCTAAAATTAAATGAAATACATATTTGTCCAATTCCACCCCATGTTATTCCATTGATCAATTTCTTTTGATTTATTTCTATCTAACCTCTATTTTGAAGATTCGGAAATATGATATTATTATTAAAGCTACATACCAACTCTGGCAAACGTGTCTGCTATATTCATCATAGCATCATGCCCAATATGTCCATCTTTGTCCAAATCCCAGGCAGAGATGGCTGTGGTTACCTTCCTTAACCAAAAATAAGGCATTTGTCTGATCTGAAAATGTCCAAATAAAATGAAATTGTATAATATCTGCTTTAGTTTTGAATATTCAAACACAGCATTCAAAGGAAAAGGAGATAAAAGTGCGGGTTAAGTTAAACGCCAGTAGGTGTGGAATCCAGCAAAGGGACTCTCTTGGCACGGCTGTGAGATATGTAGCAAGCACCCTTTGGGGCAAGCCTGATAGATAGACTATGTAAGATGCACCCTTTTGGGCAGGCATGTGTGGAATGCAGCGAAGGCACCCTTATGAGCAGGCCCGTGAGATATGTAGCATGCACCGTTTTGGGCAAGCATGTATGGAATGCAGCGAAGGCACCCTTATGAGCATGCCCGTGAGATATGTAACATGCACCGTTTTGGGCAGGCATGTGTGGAATGCAGCGAAGGCACCCTTATAGGCAGGCCTGTGAGATATGTAGTATGCACCCTTTTGGGCAGGCCTGATAAATATGATAATACGTAACATGCACCCCTTGTTGGCAAGAGTGTGTGAAATGGGCATGGCCTTTTGGGCATGACCAAAGGTACTTAATTGACCCCCCTCCCCTTCCCCCACCACCAGAAAAAATAAGCGCAATATAGAAAATCGTATTTACCTCTGACATCTGTTTATCATCACAAGAGTTTTCTAATATATCAGCCATTTTGATGAAGTTTCTTCTTAAGTTAAAAGCTGTATAACAAGTTATTTATTTCTATACAGTAAAACCTGTCTTATCCGAACACCCATGGGACCAGCCAAAAGCGTTCAAATTGGCAGGTGTTTTGTTGGTCGGGGGGGGGGATTTTCATTGTTCAGTACACTTATTGCACAGAAAACAATACATGTTGTTGATGAGTTAATTCTACAATAGGCCTATAGCCTATATGCTATGTTTTATTTATATTTTGAACAATTTCATCATTTTAGTAAAAATAACTCTTAAAAACTTTGGAATACACTGTAAAAATATATGATAGTCTCGTACGAAATCTTATGCTTATCAAATGGCTTATCCCATATTATGGTTATATAGCACTGCTTTACTTTTGCTTGAAAAAATTCTTCATTGTAGCTTGATTCTTGGCACTTTTAGCATTAGAATTATTTGAGTAGATATCCTCTTCGAGTAAAATGAATTTTTCATGAGTGTCATTCGAGATGATGTATAATCCTTTAAAATTTCAAGGGCATTCAGGATGTCAGATGTATGCCTTTTTAGGAGACATTTTAGTAATAGGATATTACAAAGTTGAATTTTTTCTCTTTCTCGTGATATAATCATGTCTGCAAATGTCGTCTGTGTTGTCTTTGTGATTATAAAACATTTACTGATTGAATCGTAGCTATCATAACAGACCCATGGGATATAAAACAGTTAAGACCTGTTCATAATCCAAAGCAAAAACATCCAGTTAATTTACAATAAGGATAAACCAATTATCTCCCAAAGTCTCACCTTTCTCTTAATCCAAATCAAAAACATCCAGGTAATTTCAAATAATGATAAATCAATTATCTTCTTGATTCAAAACCTTCTCTTAATCCAAACATAAAACATTCAGTTCTTTTCTAATAGGATAAACCAATTAACCCCTGTATTCACACCTTTTCCAAACATTCTGTTGTTTTCCACAAAGGGATGTCACTGAGACTTAATAAGTTAATTAGGACAATATTGGTTCTTTGATTACATTGTATATGTAAAGATAAATAACAACTATAACATTGACTCAATATGTGGCTTTAATTGAAATGTCCAGACATTTGAATTCTGATCAAAATGTTCAGATTAGACAGGTCACTTTTTCAAATCTGGTTGTTCACTGTTCAAATTAGGAGGTGTTCAGATTTCAAGGTTTTGTTAACATGGGAGTCAATGGGAGGAAAAAATGGGACCGAAAAAAGTGTTCAAATTGGAAGGTGTTCGGATTAGCCAGGTGTTCAGATATACAGGTTCTACTGTATATGTAATACTAGAAAAAGGTTTCTTCACATAAAAAATGTTCTGAAGCTGTATACATGTAAATGTTTAAACGTCTTCGTGGAAGGTCATGAATAAATAACACACTTTAATGTATAACTCTTCATTCTTTTTTCCCACTGTGATCAGGTTTTTATATAAAAATCTTTAATTATTTCAGAGACATATAATATGTTTTATATGTCTCTGGTAATTTGTATATACAGGGTGGGCTTAAAAAACAATACACACGTTTAAAGATGAATATCAAATGATATATGTTAAACCATGCCATGTATTTTATGCCATATTCACGCCCAGTGATCGTTAAAATGGTATGGAGGGGGGGGGGATTTCTGCAAGAAAACTCAACAAATTTGGAAGATTTATTTTTTCAAGAGAAAATTTACAACTGAATTGCCAAATGAATAGGCGCAGTGCATGGCAAAATATGTTAGGTCATCTAGTATTTTTTTGAGCTGATACCCTTCTAAGACATGAGATCTATTAAGAAAGGCACATCATCACCAACGTGCAAAAGTCAATGTTTTTGCAAAAAATCGGGCAACAATGGTCTACAGGACCTGTAATAAATACTTGTAGAGGTGTGCACCAATGGCACATTACTTAATCGATCAATGAAACATATTAGTCGATTAATCATCGGTTAATCGACCCCAACATAAACTGATAAAGTATGCATGGATATCTGACACAAACTTGATTTTTCGGCAACTTTCTTGTGGACGATAAGTCCATAATTCGAGAGTTATTTTCACTCACCTTTTATATCTATTTATTAAATAGATATAAGGGACATAATTATTACAATATTAATGACATTGCTCACTTTTTAAAGTTAGTTTCCATGCGTTATACAAAAAAATCGCAATAAATTAATATCGGATGGAGGGGGGGGGTCGGATGGAGCATTGTTGGAACAGATATTGCCCAATATAGTTGTGATGCCATTAAAGACAAAGTCCACCACAATTGCCACCCAGCCAGAGGGGTGAATATTAATAACTAACTCTAACTCCACAAGAAAACAAAGGTTTTTCAATCAGATGGAGTCATACTGTTAGGAAATGATTCATCATTAACATGATATATAATACATGGCATATGGTTTAACACCCATCATATAATATTCATCTTGAAACTTGAGTATTTTTTTTGCCCCACCCTGTATATATATTTCAAGATTGTTAATGTCTGATATCATAATGATTATTCACACATGAGGAAGGCCTTACGTTTTTGTGGGTACCATAAAGGTCACTTAGTCTTAATTCTTGGAGAAATTACATGGCATCAACAGACATGCATGATTTTGGATCATGTGCTCAATCAATGCTCCGCAGTTCTGGATAACTACTGCAACGCAAATGATGAAGTTGTTCACCACTCGTTCTAGCATATCTAGGGGTGTTTTGTAATTCTAAAGCATTTTTCTTAAAGAAAAAAATTGTTGCACACCCCCAATACTATCCAAATGGAATCAACTTGGGATAATATGTGTAGCAATCAACATGATTTCACATGGAATTCACACTATTTCCACGTGAATTCGATCCACATGGGTCCACATTATCATCGCACCTTTCAACGTTAATATTTCACAAGGTTTGCATGCAAATAAGCATGGAAAAATTTTCCCAATTCCACTTGGATCAGCATGCCTCAAAATCCATGTAGATTTCACAAGAAATCCATGAGGGTTTCATGAGGATTCCAGGTTGATCCTCACAGCATAGGTTCCAGGTGAAAGTGAATTAGCTGTGTATCTTTTTTAGTATACATTCCCATAAAAGCAGTTTTCCAGACCCGTGGAGCATGAATTGAGCACATCAATCATTTATCACTATCAGGCATGTCTGTTGATGCCATGTAACCTCTGCAAGACTTAAGACTGAGTGACCTTTATTGTACCCACATAAAATACCTTTCTCTAAAACATATGTGGAAATATTAGCCCATGAATGCAAGTAATAACTGAGATTAATAGCTTGTTGCAAGGGTTCACTTTTTTGGACCACCCTGTACACATACTTGGCATGGAATATCCGTCATCACAATCAGCCAACCAAGTTGTTTAGTTTCATCCATACACTACAACATTTTCTATATTTTCTATTCATATTACAGATAAACAACTTTAATATGCTATGATTGCCTCGTCGAGTTTGCACAATTGTCAAGGTTTATGTCAGTGTTTAGTGCTATTGTGAGTTCACTAGATAGAAGTCCATGTAGGGTCTCTCCAGTGTGTCTATATAGCCATGTACCATCTGTATAGTTAAATCTTTTGGGGCCACTGAAAATGAATAAAATGCATCAGATTAATAACTTACTTCCTATGTAATCATGAAATATTTTTGAATATTTTGACAAACATGCATGTACAATATATCTCAAGATATTAGAAGTGCTAAATGGGAAGAGATTAGATTAATATTTATGTAATTTCTTGTAAGTAATCAAATATCTTGTAGGTAATCATTGATATTTTGACAACAATTCATGCATTTAACAAAATAAAATGAGGTTAGATGTGAAACGTATACGAAGACTCATAAAGATGGAAGGTCGGGGTTTGTCTTCACTTTCTGGTATGATTGGTATGATCAAGAGGGGGGAATTACCCATAATTCATGAACGTATCTATTTTCATGTAAAAGTGAACCTCTAAGTGAGCCTATAGGTTTGTATTACAACATGAGGTTCATCTTTAAATGCTGGGTTATTGCCTCCTCTTGTTTGTGTCGAATATTACTCTAATACACCAAATAGTTGTCTTTTTACATGTTAGAAGTTGAATCCATCTTGAAATTGTTATCCAATATTTGCAATATGTAAATAAATCCAATACTGCCATCTATTGACATTCTCTTAGGCCAATTTTGGACTGAGATACTTAAAAGCAGCCCAATCGAACCATAAGCAGTTTTTTTCTTTGATAATATAGGTCACAAATATATATGTCACAAATAAAGAGAAAATTACTTTCTCCAGAAAATGATTCAAAAACTCTATTGTGTAACCTGAGTATTTCTGAGGAGTCTAATTTGCAAAATTGAAGATTTCTTTATTATAAGGACAATAGCATTTTGCACTATTAAGTTGATTTCTTTTAAGTAAGTTTATAACATAGAGAGAATCAAATCCTATGCTAAGAGCTGATTTGAAAAGTCACTCCAATTTGCGGGAAACCACATGTAAACTTAGGATGTAAACACATGGATTTTAGGCCGATGCTATTTATGGGAGGGGGAGATTGTGTTGGGTATAAATGCAAAACTGTGTTTGTTACAATGCAAATCAAGGGGGGGAGGGCGGTCAAAATTGGGTACAAACGCAACCCCTTTGAAATATATGGATTAGATTTCCATCAAGTCAGAGTGTCTTCACGTTATATGCCTTGCTATAGGATTTGCAAAAACTGCAAATATGCAATTAGGGAGGGGTTGTATCGCATCACACCTTTGCTATAGGATTTGCAAAAACTGCAAATATGCAATTAGGGAGGGGTTGTATCTCATCACACCTTTGCTATAGAATTTGGAAAAACTGCAAATATGCAATTAGGGAGGGGTTGTATCGTATCACACCTTGTCATACTGCAAGATTTGATCCTATGAATGTTTGCAAATAGTGTAAAACAGTATCAGGTAATAAAGATGCACCCAATCACAAACTAACCTGGTTGGTGAAGACAGCCATATTTGTTTATTTGGTGTTTGTTTGTTGATAACATATGTCCCAAGCTCTCCACCTAGTTGAATTGTTAAGACACCACTCTGAAATACAGGAATTCAAATTGTATTGGGTGTTTGTTTGTTGATAACATATGTGCCCATGTCTCCACCTAGTTGAACTGTTAAGATACCACTGTAACGACCCTTGGGCACGCTCGTCAGGTAGCTGTAGTGTACCGAGCCAGATACTAGACTCGAAAGAGAATGTGCTAAATTCAATGCCGCGTACGGGAATCGAGCCCAAGATCCTCCCGCTCTCGAGTCAGACGCTCTACCCCTGAGCCATAAGGGCTAGCCACTACAGCTGAGACTGTATTAGCGACTTGCTATCGAAGGTCATTACACCACTCTAAAATACATGAACATGGTGACAAGGAGATAAACATATACAGTGGATATTCAAGTGTAAAATCTGAACAAATCTAGACAAACAGAAGAGCTTTGAAAATGATAAAAAGATGTCTCTCACATCAAAGGATTTAAAAGTTTGAATTTTGGGATACCCTTTGGAATTTTAATGTATAAGAAGTATATAGGTGAATAAAGTGAGATGATAGGATTTAATTTTGGGATACCCTTTTTGGAACTTTCAGCTATGTGACAAATGACATTTTCAGTAACTAATTGTATGAGAATGTGACCTACAAGTTAAATGAGATTTTTAGCTACAATACATGTGGCGTTTTAAGCTATGCAATGTATGAGAATTTTAGCTACATGATGTAGAAGATTTCAGCCACATACAGATTTTCACATTTATGATACATTCAGCTACATAGCATGACATTTTCAGCCATGCTGTGTTCGAGAATTTTAATTATACAATGTACATGATGTACATGCTGTAATTTTTTTAATATAAAAAGTAAACAGAAAACACTCACGGAAAACTGCACATCATAATCCTCATGCTTAAAATAGTCATCGTTATCTCCAAGATCTTCAAAGAATTCTGTCAATGAATCCAGAGTTTCTTCACAAATGTCCTCAAATTCTATTTCAGTAAGACTAGAAATTAAAAAATATTATTTTTAATAAATATTAAATGATAACAAAATTAATAATATTTTAGTTACACATAAAAAATGAAACAAAGCCTTAGTTTATTAAATTCTCGTCTATGTATTATCCTTTATAAACAAATCCATACACAACAAAAGCGTAGCGTCATATACGCATAAAACGCCATGGCGTACTCTCAAATTTAGAGAAAAGTTGAATATTTAGATTGAACACTTTAAAAATACTGGATATTCTTAAATATGGCCAACAATTTACATTTTATTAATCCATATTAGTCGAAATTTCGTGCTTAAAACGCCCCAGAAGGCTTCAGACGCAATCTCATTTTCAAATTTTCTGGGAAAAGAAGCCTCAAACCCCCTCATAGTTTCGCTCACTTGTGGCGTACACTCACAAAATACCCAAGCTACGCCACTGCACAATATCAAAATAACATAGCATACTTCGAAACTTCATTTCATTTTATTTAACATTATATAGACATAAACCTCAAGTTTTGCATGTACCTGTTAGACTGGTGATCCATACAGTATATACGATGAGTCATTTTAGACAGGGAATCTCGATGGGGTGTGAATGGCAAAACTCCACCACCTTTAGGCTTCTGAAATTACAAAATTTTGATCTGTAATTTGAACATGACTGTAATCAGGCATTCTATAAACTCTGAACAAAGTCAATATTTCACACGGTATTTATTCGTCTATACAATACCTGGTACGGTCTGTACTAATGTTTCATTCAGTGCACTGGAAGAGGAATTGAAGTAATTTTGGTGAATTTTCATGTTTGAATCATCATAAATACCTCAGATATTATATCAAGTAATAAATACCTAAGGGTTTGGCCCAAAAGCTTTTGAACCCCTCACTCCCTTCGGTCATTGAGGTATAGAAAACGTTTGTGTCTACCCCTATGGTATCTATTTGTCATTACAATACCTGCTTTTCAGTCTATATTTCTTAATCAAAAATGTCTTATAAAATGATGAAACAGTTTTCTTGCAATCTTGATGTACCTGTACACACAAACACATTATATTTTTTCTTAGGGAACAATCAGGCAAAGTTTGAATGTGCATTAATATCACATGCTCCTGTGCCTATGAATTGATGTTTGCCTTGCATGGGCGTAGCCAGGGGTTCAATAGGTGAAATCGGACCCCCCCACCCCCGAAGAGCAATTTTGTAAAATTTGTTGGAAAAACATTATCATTATAGTTTGAAATGCTTAGAATGCACCATATCCATTTTTGTGGCTTATTTTGCTCACAGTGATGCAAACCCAAAACTTGCACTCCCATTTGCTGGCTACGACACTGCCTTGAAGTTGTAATACATTCTAGGCTTGCTCAAAGTTACTCAAGTCTCTAGTCAATTCTTGGCTAGAAGTAATTCCATCTGGAACACCGTGAACTATTGTAAAATTTCTAGTAGGGGTTCAATAAATTTAAGTAATATTCTAAAAACCGTCATGTTAATATTTCATGAATTGAAATGGAACTGGCTAGGCTCCTTGATGAGATATTGCATAATTTCGTCAGGATTACGTCTAAAGTTAAAACAAACGGCTCCAAGAAAAATGGCGAAATTCGAAAACTGGACAAAATGTCGTTAACGTCTGACATAAGTAACTGGCTGTAAATTCTAAGTTAGCGATCCAGAAGATGTGAACATTGATCACTTCATGTGTGTTTCTGAATTTTTGGTGAAGTAAGAAGACCAAAACTCCCAATTCAAATTGTGATGTGGAAAAATGGCGAACATTTGATTTCAAATTTTATGATTATGACTTGACCAGTATACAGCAGTAAAAAAATGCAGGGATTTATCTTTGGACGAAGGCCACAATATAGTGGCCTTAGAAGAAGGTATAGTAGCCCCGGAGAGTAGCATAAGCGTTTTGTTTACTCAGACGATGAAATTATATACTAGAGATGTCAAGGTGAAACCCCCTGAATCAATATCTGAGACTATATACATTTATGTCAGATCAAGATGGAGTTTTCACTCATTCTTGAGAGAGACGTTGGTAAAACTCCCAAACGGAACAGATTTACTGTACACAACGATCTACATAAATGTTTTGCTTCTAAAATAGAATTGTATTTTCCTATAAGTCACTGCACTAGGCCGAGGTCCTTTGATTTTTCAGGTTATATCGAAATATAATTTTTTGACTAAAAAATATTTGTTTCCGGTCAAGTGTGGCGACATTTACCTCCTTTGATCGCGACTCCCTTACAGAAGTGTCGGCTCGTAGTCCCATCCATAATGCTCTCGTTAGACTTATGTACCCAGAGGTATATGGTACTCTGCTTTTAACTGCTGTAATAAGAACACAACAGTGTTTTATTCCCTGAAATTTGCAAAACATTTTAAATTTCTACTCGATTACGCTAATTTGGGTTTTCACATTTTTACTCGCTAGGTGTCGCATTGAGGGCGGGCAATTTGAAAGTTCAAAACTTTTCAAATTCTTCATATATTACAATTAGACTAAACTTTGAATTCAGCATGGTCGCAGAACAGATTTTTTAATTTCATAGTATAGTACTAACTTAAAAATCGTTAATTGGTACACCGCACGAACCAAATTGGTCAGAGGCGCAGTCAGCAATATTGGGGTGCGATTTTTGGGCGCATCATATCGAGCGAAGCGAGCCCCAAAAAGGGGGTATGCCCAATTTTTTTTTAATTTGCATTGTATATGGTGCATTGTATATGGACTACAGCCACCTGGCTATGATCATGTAGGTATCAAAGATATCAAAGTCCTAATTGCCAAGGGTAAATTGTGATCTACATTGGAAGTGAGGGGACCATCCTGTGTATGGACTCAATTTTTAACTGTATTAGGCATATTGGGTATGTACTGTACATGTACGTTCCTGGTTGATTTTCATGAACTTCCTTGTTTAGCCTCCTGTCCAATGAAAAGCTCGAAAGCCACATCAAACAATAGTTTTTCTGCATTTGTACTTCCTTATTGATAACCAAATGATTCCGGCAATAAATGAAGCTTAAACTGATATTCTTAGTTCAATGGCTTGATATTTTTATGATTTAAACAATAAGGTTTAGTTTGAAAATAGTATAAATTTTTATGATAGTCGTTTCATTCAACCTAAAGCCACCACGTTTGACGTGACTTAATACAATGTTAATTGGAAGGTTAAGTTACACATTTTTAAGAGAACCTGTCTATGAGCATGTAATATTTCGACTTCCGTGGATTACTGTCCAGCTTTCAATTCACCTTTCCAGGGACCTAATTCAATTACAACTATTTTCCGTATACCTTTATCCTTAATCCAAAAAAACAGTACAAATGGTAGAACTAATCCACAGAGGATCCTAATTCTGCACGTTCGCGTACAAGTTGCTTTAAAAACGTGTATCTAACGTCCCTTATGTCCTTTTTATATTTCTTTGCAGTAGATTGAGTGCAAAATATCATATGACAATAATGTCGATGCTCTGTTGCCCACACACTCATCATTGAAAAACATAATCATTAAACGGAGTCATGTAGGTGCATTTGTGCCTGCATCAAATATATACCATCGGTTAATGTTCTTGTGTGTCGTGCAATTTTTATTGTCCTTATACTACATGGCATGACAATGGTCATCCAAAATAAAATTTAGTCATTTTAATTTTTATAAAACAATTTATGAGTACTTTAGAATCATATTAATAGTCACTATTGAATCAAATAGTATTTCTGGGTATAAAATGACATGCTTGATAAACACTTTTTACACATCTGATCATGATGTATGTTGATAAAGATTTTGCTGCTCTACTGAGCTTGATAATTTTTGTTGCTACATTTGGAACTGCAGGTAAGACAAGCTCTTGTGTATTTGTATCTGGTCTTTTCTTTCGACTATTTCTTTGATTTTTAGGACAATAGATATGCCATGTGCTGGGGGATCATCTTCGTCTCCCAATGTGCAATGTATAACAAAAGTTGAAGATGGAGCAACTGTAACCTTGTGAATCAAGATGCTAGGGGATTTGAATTATTTTGTACGGCATATTGTGTATGTCATTTAGTTTCAATAGATATGAGTTGGATATATGTCTCATTTCATTCCAAATATATGGTAGCAAGAACAAAAGACAGTGCCAGATGGGTTAACTAAAAATTATATAAAGATATCATGATATGAATTTTTTTCAATCATTCTAACATTAACATATAACAGTATACAGTATATTGCATTTAAATCCAAATATCATAAAGTAGTATGTATAAGGTTTCGCTGTATAAAATACTTTTCCATTGCTTTGTCAGTTTTTATTGAAAAAAATTGATGCCATATTTTCTAATGAATTCTGGTCAATTTAACAGTAGTATGATTGTATTACTTCATTCTGAAATGTATTGTTCACACAATATATAAGTCAAATCATCATCAGCTAGATATTGAGTAGCCTTGCCCAAGTCTGCATTTTTTTAACGTGTCTGATCTTGAATTGATAATAGAAATCAAGATAAGTAAAAGAGACCGACTTGGGGCTAAATATTGAGATTCAACTTGAAATGCTAAAAATGTGTATCCTCAAGTACCAGCGGGAAAGTACCAAATTTACAACAGAACGTACCAAGAAAAAGAAAGCATGCAACGAGGAAAAAACCAAACTATCCCAAATCATAATCCAACGTGAAAAAAACAGTTTCTAAGTCCCCCTCCCAAACAATGCAAGTACCAATGTCACAATCTGAGACCATAAAACAACATGACCTAGGGATACTAAAATTAAATATTAAAATACATGTTGAAGAATAAATTTAAAATTGATAGTCAATACTCAAAACATACACCTCACGTACACATGCATATACACCATCATGATAAACCATGACATCTCAAATCTTCTCAGCCCTGAGATGTTTCAGGTGAAACAGAAAGATGCTATGAGTATCAGAATGCATATACACCTCAAGTGATTCATTTGATGTGTTCATATTCCAGTGGGCAAGTTCCCATATCCATGGACATTTGATAATACGTATGGCCATGGAATATGCCAAGGTAGTGGAGATGTCCATTATGTAACTTATGACAACTGGCGATCAATTGATTTCCAAGGACCATGTTTGTACACTCTAACTAGACTATGCTGTGGATCATGTAATAGAAGAGAAGATAGATTTTGCCCACGGACTGATTTTCATGTTAAGGTAAGTGGATATCAGAAAATATACAAAATGAAGTTGGTTTCTCAAAACGCTTAACCTGTGAACATATGGAGAGCTATATGTATTGCATATTTTCAATTGTGTGATATTGGTTAGGTTAAACAAAGACCTGTGGGAACTCCTGCATATCCCCTGGCTTATGTGGACTATATAGTTGTGGAGATTTGTGGATATTCAGTCATCCTGGATGAAGGAAAATGGGCAGTGGTCGAAACAACTGTAAGTAGTAATCCTTACATGTAGGTATAAGACATATGTTTTAAGCCGTTATAAAGATGGCAGCACCAGAATCCCATATTATTAACACAGATTGATTGCCATTCGCTGCCATCTTTATTTAAAAATCGACGTAAGCCTTTTGTGTGTTCTTTGTAATAAATGATGTCAAACAACTTGATTAAAAGGTTTTAGTTGCTCCGACGATAAGAATTTGTCAACGCATACGAGTGCGAATCACTCACACGTGGAAAATGTACAAGTAAATGAATAATCAAATAATAAAAGTTATTTGAGGTATTCACAGGAAAAGGTGAAAATGCTATTTCATTAGATAACGTGACTTTTGGACTTTGTAAACTAACTAATTTGTGTGACACCGAGTGATATTATTTGTAATCTAAAATTGGAACAATTTTGGAAATATTGCTTGCTTTCTCTGATTCTACCTTACATTTTCAGCATGCAAACTATGTACCAAACCCATTTACTATTTACTCAAGTGGTGTATTAATTTTCAGCATGCAAACTATGTACCAAACCCCTTTACTACTTACTCGAGTGGCGTATTAAGTCTACCACGAGTTTGGGGCTGTGAAAATGGAACTGAGTTTCGGCTTTCTAACTGGGGCACAAATGGTATTCAATTTGAAACTAAATTCATGATTATTTACAACAGTCCAACCTATGTAAGGGTAGGTACTATACTGTTTTCCATTCATTTTAGATTTGAATTGTAAATGTTCGTGTCACGTTTTTTTTGTAAAAAAGCAAAGGTAAATTAAAATATGTACAGTTACTACATTCTAATATTTGCTAGAATTGATCAGGTTGAATTGATTGATTGATTTACCCTAGAAGCCCTAAGGTAAAAAAGTCACAAGAAGGCCTGGGGGGGTCAAAAGGGCCCCCATTTGTAATATATGTAATATTAGTTTTAAAGCTGGATGTTCAAACTTTTTTCATTCAAGTATTTACTATGTTGTCATAACTTAAACTACTATATAATGATGTAAGATTGCGTAATGTTATTCTAAAGACAATCCGTATGGTAAAATTAGTGCAAGCATTTCCGATTTTGTCTATTGGAGCTGATGATTACATCATAATAAATTAAGTACCCTATGTACAATTTCTGCCGATTTCTTTCGAATACATATGTAATATCTGTAGTTGCAGCTACTGATTTGAGAATTTAAGATCCTACCTAATGCCTATGAAAAGTTTCAGAGAACTTAACCTATTAACTGGGCTTCTAGGGTAAATCATGCATTTTATTTTACACATTTTTTCATTTCAAAGTATCACAATCTTAAACTCTTACATTACACAACAGGTTAAATTGTCAAAGAAATACAAATCAAAAGTTTGTGGAATTTGTGGAAACTTCAATGGTAATCCAGAGGATGATTTAGTGACCCGTGATGGTATAGATGTAAGCGGCTATCCCGATGGTTCGATTTGGAGTGTTAAAGATACACTTATTGGCAACAGTTGGAAAGTCTACAACCCTGGCCAGCCTGAGTAAGATTTCACATTTATAAATTTATTTCTGGACTATGACTTCTGGACTATGACCTCTGGACGATGACTTCTGAACTTTGACCTCTGGACTATGGCTTCTGGAATATGACTTCTGGACTATGACCTCTGGACTTTGACTTCTGAGCTTTGACCTCTGGACTATGACTTCTGGACTATAACCTCTGAACGATGACTTCTGAACTTTGACCTCTGGACTATGACCTCTGGACTTTGACTTCTGAACTATGACCTCTGGACTATGACTTCTGGACTTTGACCTCTGGACTATGACCTCTGGACTTCTGGACTTTGACTTCTGAACTTTGACCTCTGGACTATGACTTCTGGACTATGACCTCTGGACTTTTGGACTTTGACTTCTGGACTATGACCTCTGGACTATGACATCTGGAGTTTGACCTCTGTACTAAGACTTCTGGACTATGACCTCTGGACGATGACTTCTGAACTTAGACATCTGGACTATGACTTCTGGACTATGACCTCTGGACTTCTGGACTTTGACTTCTTGACTATAACCTCTGGACTATGACTTCTGGACTTTGACTTCTGTACTAAGACTTCTGGACTATGACTTCTGGACTATGACCTCTGGACTTCTGGATTTTGACTTCTGGACTATGACCTCTGGACTACGACTTCTGGAGTTTGACCTCTGTACTAAGACTTCTGGACTATGACCTCTGGACGATGACTTCTGAACTTTGACCTCTGGACTATGACTTCTGGACTATGACCTCTGGACTTTGACTTCTGGACTATGACCTCTGGACTATGAGTTCTGAACTTTGACTTCTGGACTATGACTTCTGGACTATGACCTCTGGACTTCTGGACTATGACCTCTGGACTATGACTTCTGGACTTTGACCTCTGGACTATGATTTCATTTCATTTAATGTGATATTACTAAAAAAAATTAAATTTTAGTTGTGAGGAACTGAATCCTGATGAGATTCCCGAAAGCTCGGGTGGCAGGAAGGTTACACCAAACCCAACTGCTTTATGCAAAAAATACTTGGCTAAAAATAGGGCTATGAGAAAGAACTGTTCTGCTAAAGTGATGGGGTATGCACTGCGAGAATGCTATATGGATGCCATAGGTGAGAGGCATACTATGTACATATTTTTAAAAACATTTGTCGTGACTATCAAATATTTTAATTGGAAATCCGATGGAGAACATTGAGATGACTATGTCGATTTGATAGAATTCAATTCTTTAAGACAAACTACATGGACCACAGTGGCGGATCCAGAAGTTAACAAGAGGGGGGAATTTTGTGTCAGTAGCGCGGAAAATTTTTTGTAAGGCCCATTTTTGTAAATTTGGCCTAAAAAGGCCAAATTATGCCAAAAAGGCCCATTTTTGAGGCCCTACAAAATTTCTGGGCTAAACAATATTTGGGGCCCTTAAAAATGTATGGGCCCACAAGGGGGGAGGGGGCGCCACTGGACCAGAAGAAGAATGGCTTCAAACTGCCCTTATTCTGTGTCATGTTGCAATCGATTTATACATATTTATGTTAACTTTTTAGCCTCAAACTTAGTGAGTCGGGCAGCAATAAAGGAAGCCATATGTGCTGCAATGGAACAAATGATGGCAAACTGCCCTGTTAGCCAGACCAGAGAAGGTGGGAGTTTGGAAGAGTATGCAAAGGAATACGGCTGTTACCAGAAAAGCGGTGACGAGAGAGAAGAGTTGCCATTTGAAAGATTAACCGGACCGCAGTAGATTAACTTGATATGATCATCATTTTGAGATACCTCAAGAAATGAAAATTCTAAATGTGCACTCCTATCTAAATGTTATGTTTGTGTTTCAAAATGCGTTGGAGATTTTCTGGTAATAGAAACTGAACTGAATGATGCACCCGTCACGTCTCCACTTGAAGCTTTTTGTATTCCAGTCCAGTCTGGGTATAGAATGTCTGTTTGAGGAAATTCGCATGGATAGATCATTTTAAAACCTGTGACCAAATTAAATACATGCACCTTAAAGGATTGATATCGATATGGTGAACTGAATTGAACACATGTTTCTCTTAAACCAGTCAATTCTGACACATCGTCAATCCAGTGGCCATCTTTTGAATGGTAATAGTTTAATTTGAAAATATATATATATACTTTCTCCATATTGTTTTAGAAAACATATCAGAGACTTCTTTTGTTCGTGGTATCATATGTTCGGAATGAAATGAAACATCTATCCGAGCCTCATTGGAACAAAACGACATACACAACGTGTTTAAGTCTCTCAATATTGTAATTGTACAAGGGAAAGTTTGGTGATTTAAAAAAGTATCTTGTTAATGAAATAAAAGGTTTACTTTGATTTTTATCTATTTTTTGGGGGGGGGGTTTGTTTTAATTTTTGAATAATTTTTTTAAATCAACCAAATTTTCCTTTTTAAAACTACAATATTGAGAGGTCTAAGAAAATGTTGTTTATGCTATTTTGTCCCAACAAGGTTCGAAAAAATATTTTATTTCATTTACAAGAATTGGTAGAAAGGAACAAAAAAACGATTGCACTGAAGATCAAGAAATGTTAACAAAAACAGTAATAAAAATATATTTAAATAATTTTTGCATTAGATTGTTGTCAATCAGTGATCATTACATAAAGGACAGAATGTTATCAATAATTACTTTAAGAGAAAAACAATGTTGAATTCAGTTCGCCATATCGAAACCAATCCTTTGCATTAAACGTGGCTAATGATACTGTAGAGTACAGCCATTACTTGTATTTGTATTTTGAACTGATAATTTGCAATAAAATAAATTGAATATAAAAAATGCGAACACTCCAGAGAACCAACCAATTCAAGTATCCCTACACTCTAGAAATATACTTCTGAAGTAGAGCTGAATGTAGCATATAAGTAAGATACCATTGATAGTTCTGTAGCTGGTTTAATAATACATATTTCAAATGAGGTCGTTTGGAAAATCATTTGAGCTAAAACACACTAAAACAGGCATGCCACACAACATCTTCTTAAGATCGAAAGAACTCTCACTGGTGATCCACTCGATTTCGCTGGTTACCGAAACGGTTCGTTTTGGTAACAAAATGTCGGAACGTCGAAGGTACGATTTTTCTCTTTATTTCACACGTTGTAGGCAGAATTCCCACGACATTTTTTAACACAAACGTGTATGAGTATTATATGTTTAAGAAAATGAACATATGTGCGAACAAATAGTTCAGAAGACAACAGAATCGTCGATTTAATTCTTCACTTAAGTTACATAAACGGTTTTTGGAAAAACAGTTAAGATCTGCACTTTTAACCAAAACCGTTTATGTAACTTGAGTGAGGAATTAAATCGACGATTCTGTTGTCTTCTGAGCTATTTTTTCGCAAACAGGAACATTTTCTAAAACATATGATACTGATAAACGTTTGTGAGAAAAAACGTCGTGGGGATTCTGCCTACAACGCGTGAAATAAGGAAAAAAGAAAAATCGTACCTTCGACGTTCCGACATTTTGTTACCAAAACGAACCGTTTCGGTAACCAGCGTAATCGAGTGGATCACCAGTGAACTCTGTTGACTGTGCATCGAAAGCAACATTGCAAGCATAGTATTCAATACACATGAGTATTATGATTCCCGTTAACACCAACGTGAAATTTCAAATTTCCCGTTCTAAACAAGAAACACTGACACTGAACGGGTATTGAATGTCATATTGATACAAGGTACCCATGGAGCATAGCAGGCCCGTAGCCAGGGGGAGGGTTGCAGACCCCCTCCCCGGCCAAAAATTCTTTCAAAATCATGGAGTTTTTCACCATTTTGAGCACTTCTCAAGTAATTTTAGCCATATTTGGGCCAAAATTGTCAAATGTGAACCCCCCCTGGATTTTTTGGAAAACTGAACCCCCCTTGGCAAATTCTGGCTATGGGCCTGTATAGGTATGTAAATAATGTAATACATCAGTTAATATAACCACTGACGTGAAATAAGCCTTCGTGCCTTGGTCACGTTTGCTACGATTTTCACTACGGCGCCCGACAGATTGAGTATTTTGTTCTAATGCAAATTAGAACAAAACCCTCAATCGGCCGGGTGCCGGCCGATGGATCGGAGTAAATGTGACCCAGGCATAAGGTGGGTCAAGGTTTATCTCGTTCCAAGACTATCTCTAGATAAGGTCAAGGTAACAGTACAGATTTCATATTTCACGTCATCGCGACAAATCCTCTAAATACCTAGCGGTTGTAAATATTAGTAACTAGATATACTTAGAACTACCCCGGCATTTCCGACTATTTAAAGATACTGGCAAAAATACGTTTGTGTAACTTGCTTCATAGTGAACGTGTAGAATTATAGTCCTCTAAGGATTATTTCTTCACTTGGTAAACGTCCTGTCTATTGAGTCGAAGGGTGTAAAGAAAATAGTTGTATTTAGGCCATTTGAAAAGAATAAGAGGAGGTCAGTTTTTCAGGAGGCCATAATATTACACATTCACTTACAATCCACAAGTTGCAGTCTTTAAAAAGTGTAGCTTATCCCTTAACCTGTTATGCGCAGACCTCATACAAATAACAATCAATGAATATGAACATTTAAATTAAAGTCCCCGTGTAAAGTTTGAAAATATGTTTTTTTTATTCATTTACTTAGTGATTTTTTTTAAATAAAAAATGTGGGGAAGATATTCGAATATTGTTTTAATCATCAACTATTCCACTATACAGTGCAAAAATATTATCTTTTTAACAGCAATGCGCAAAGCTTGAACAAAGCACACTATTTCAATGATAAAATGGCATATCAAACGTGCCACTTCAATGTTTTAGCAATCGAAAATATTTTGCAACCTACGTGACCTCATCGTGACATCACAGGTGGCAAAAACCTTTTGAAAAGATTTAAAAATATTTCCGTGTCAATCTTTTCTAAATATGCTAATCTTCAAAGATAAACCAATCTTGATTGTCTAACCAGAATAAAAAAGAATATATTATGTTTTAAATATTATAATTGTACCTTGGTTTCCATGAGAACTAAAATGTTGAAATATATTTTTATCTGAATCACTTTTATGCATGGATGAGTTTATTTCTTGCTTATTTATGAACCAATTTTCTTGATTTTTCGGCAAAAATCACGCAAGCATTATCGCTTATTAAAAGATACTTGTGACCTCCAAAAGTTAGATTTAAAAAATATCACGAACAAAAAGTCCTTCAAAAACCAATTTTTGAAATTAAAAAAAAAGTTTCTGATATCACTGCACACTTTGATAACATTGGATGAGACTACAATATAAGCCAAAGTGGTTTAAAAAATTTTATGGGGGCCTTAACCCTTACAAATGAAAACCCTGTCAAGATAATCTGTAGTTCTCAGAATTTTTTTGTATGGCCTATCTTAGAACTCTGTTTTAGCAAATATTCTTTGCAATCTTAACAATAAATAGGCCTGAACTTTTTCATCACCAAACGTTTTTTAAAGCTTGCCATTTTATTACATTTTTATATGCCTTGTTATATTTCATTTAGTTAATGAAGTAGTGTTTATCCATTTGAAATAATTGATGTTTGTTCAAATATCCTGTGGGTACAATAAATCATTTAACCAGTGTGATCAGAAGAATTGAATAGCTGATCCCATAGTTATTTGGTATTAATGTACTTGCAATTAGTACCACTGCCCTCCAGAACTTTTCTGCCTATTAGTATTAGACCATGTCCTAAATCTGTTATTGTTTGAAGATTTTAAGATCATTTAAAATAAGCTAAGTTTGCAAATTAAACACGAACAGGCTTAAACAAATGGGGGCACAGTTTCCAAACTTTTGGCGGGGGTGTACAATAAGCCTTTGTTTACCGATCATTCTGACTAAACCAATCCATGCGACGTTATCTCAAAATTTAACAGTTTTAAAATAAAACAATGAAACACAAGGGGATGGTTTTAATATATGGACTGGCTGTTAGTATGACGTGTGTATCAGTTATACATTATTGGTGGAAGTTGACACTAACGCAAACAGTTGTGTATTTGCAAAAGAAAGTCGACAACAGACAGCATATTTTGTATACACAGTGGGTAAATCATGATACCCGATGGAGCAATCCTAAATGGAGCCCTGATATCCAACGGAGCCCTTATACCGAATCGCCCGATAAATGCCAACCAGTCAAACATTTTGTATTTATCAAGGGTAAAAAATGTGGAGGCTCAACGATAACAAATGTATTTCTACGTTACGGCGAAACTCACGACTTAACATTCATTTTGCCTAAACCTCGAACGTCTTTAATTACCAAAGAGGATATGGAGAGACATATTGGTGACGATATTGATGTCATTGTACATCATGCGAAATACGATGAAAAACTCATGGAACGACTTATGCCTAAAGACACCGTTTACATAGGCGTTATACGTGAACCACTAAATCACCTCAAGTCCTATTACAATTATAGAAACTTCGGAAATATTCTGTCAAAACCCACTTTGGCAAAGTTTGAGGAGAATCCATGGGATTACATGGAGGAACTGGGAGACGAGGTTAAAAACTTTCAAAGTGCGTGGTTTGGATGGGATGAAAACAAAACACTAGATGAAGATATTATTCGAAAATTCGTAGAAGACATTGAAAAGAGGTTTGATCTTATCTTGATTACTGATCATATGAAGGAATCTCTTGTGCTACTGAAGGACGTACTTTGTTGGTCATTAGATGATTTATTATTTGTATCTCATAAAATCGCGAACGAATCAATGGCGATAAGGAAAAGCATACGAAAATCTGGGGCCCATGAATCGAGTTATTTGGACCATACTCCCAATACGACACTGGCCGTAAAGAATTTGCGGCAACTTAGCAGTCTCGACTACAGTATGTTCGACCATTTTAACCACACCCTTTGGGAAAACATTAAATCTAAAGGAGATGCATTTCGATATGACTTAAAACAATTTGATGATAAATTGAGAGTTATTCAGAGGAAATGCAAGTATACAGAGGAAAGTCAAACACTAAATGATGACTATATAAGGAAAGTTGCAGACGAGAGTTCGTCGTCACGTGACTATAGATGTCACCGCATGTTATTTCCACCTAATTGGTACAGTCATTACATACTTCACCCAAAACAGGAAAATAAGACAAACAAAACCATAACTTAAAAAACTGTTTTATAATTGAGTAGATGAACGAGATTTGCAAATTCTGTATTTGTTTGCTGAAAAAGGCCTGAGTTATTCCCCGATTGACTCAATGTTAAAAACATTTGTTCTTCAACATGTATTGCATGACTTCAATATAAATGAAATGTCCGTTAGTGTTGTCTCAAATGATGAGATAATGGTACTGGAATGGTGGTGGGGGGGGGTATTAGACGGTCATCGTTTCTTTCCACATGAGATTATGATTTTGGATAGTTGGGGTTTGTTTTCCATGACTGGTCATTTCCCGTTGGCACTTTCTACCTACGATAGAGAGTAATTATAACAAATCCAGAAATTACCAGTTACTTTCTTTATCAGGAGAGCTGTCAACACATCTGATAAGAAGTGTTCTCAGCAGCTCTAGTGCATCCTTCTTCAAAGGACTTCATTTATGCTCAAATTCAGCCCTTCACTCAAGCCCGGGTAGTTTCATTTTAGGGTCCTTATATAACCTGAGTTTCCTAGTGGTCAACGCAGTCTACTTTCTAATATGGTACAACCTCCAGAGTATAATATGAATTCATCCTCCAGAGACTAATGGTGTAGCATCAATATGGATTCAGCCTCGAAAGTCAAGGATGCAAATCAGAGTCTAAGATGGGTAAAGACTCCATGAGTCTTACGATTGTATAGCCTACAAATGAGATGGCATAGCCTCCAAAAGTCTAAGATGGTATAGTCTTCAGAGTCTAAGATGGTACAGCCACCAGAGTATAATATGAATTCAGCCTCTAGACTAATATGATGTAACATCAGAGTATAACATGGATTCAACCTGTAGAACCAAATATAGTACAGCCACAATAGTACCTGATTTCTATGACAGTCAGAGTCCAAGATAGGACAGCCTCCAAGATTCTAAGATAGTACAGCCTATAAGAGTCTGAGTTGGTATAGCCTCCAAGAGTCTAAGAGGGTATAGCCTCCAGAGTCTACAATGGGTATAGCCTTCAAGAGTCAAAGATGGTAGAGCCTTTGATGAGTTCTGGGAATAGCCTTCAAGAGAAGATGGTACACTTTCCAGATGCAGTGTCTATGATGGGTAAAGCCTCTAAGAGTCTAAGATAGTACAGCCTCTCCAGAGTCTATGATGGGTATAGTCTCCAAGAGTCTAAGATGGTACAGGCTCTAGAGGCTTAGAGGGTTTAGCCTTAAGTGTTTAATGGTACATCCTCAATAGTCTACAATAGGTACAGCATCCATAATCTAAGATTCATACAGTTTACAAAGTCTAAGTTCGTACATCTTCTAGAGTCTAAGATGTCAAGAATCGACATTTTGTCACATATAACACCAATTTGTTATAAATGATTGGGTCTAAGATGGTACAGTCTCTAGAGTTTCAGAGGATTTAGCCTCTAATTTTTGATGGTACATCCTCCAGAGTCTACAATGGGTATAGCATCCATAATCTAAGATCAATACAGCCTACAGAGTCTAAGTTGGTATATCTTCTAGAGTCTAAGATGTCAGGAAAAAACTGTTTTATAATTGAGTAGATGAACGAGATTTGCAAATTCTGTATTTGTTTGCTGAAAAAGACCTGAGTTATTCCCCGATTGACTCAATGTTAAAAACATTTGTTCTTCAACATGTATTGCATGACTTCAATATAAATGAAATGTCCGTTAGTGTTGTCTCAAATGATGAGATGGGGTCAACCCAGTTGTCCGAAATCCAGTTGTCCGAAACCCAGTTCTCCGAAACCCAGTTGTCCGAAACCCATTTTTCCGAAACCCAGTTCTCCGAAACCCAGTTCTCCGAAAATTAAAAAATTAAATTTCTTAGTAACGAATCTTGTCGCAACCTCGCGAATCAGGACGTTGACATCGGTTAGCCCGGTCAATAATGGGTCCGAAAGTTCACGATCATATATATATTCTTACTAGATTCTCGGCACATAGACTTATGATACGACGTCAGATACTGTACATCACGGCGTAACATTGTAATTGTTCATTTTACCGATAAAATGCAAAGATTTACGCGATAAATATGTGCAATGCTCCTCCAAGTAATTGCAAAAGTTTTAATATTCGTGGAATCTTCTTAAAAACTTCAAGTTTAGTTCAGATTAATGTGCGCTTCAATACAATTCTATATTCAAAAAGGTTGTGTCACGATATACAGAATTAGAATCACCAGAAAGTAGACATTTCAAACCCTACCCGTTTTCTTCTTTGTTGCGCTTTTCGGCCCTGCACCCTGTTGTCGCACCGTCTTTCTAGACTCTTTCACAGTGCCCCTTGACATATTCAACTGATATACACAGACGGGAAGATATTAAGGATTGTTAAATGCATTATTCGTAATTTATTTTAACTCGAATATTTAGTTTTATTTATTTAAAGCAATGAATAATAAAGGAGAACATATAATACGCTAACGGCGTAACGTCTTATTTTGTAAAGGCTTCACTTGGGGTTGCGGTGACAAAATTATGTCTATCTCAATATATACTGATTCAAATTAAATGAAATTAATTGTATGTAGTAAGGGGTATATTTAAAAGAACATTCTGAAACATTGGAAAGTTTTGAATGTTTATCCCTTAATTAGAAATATTTGAACTCAAAAAATGAAACGTAATTTTGTGAATTTTTCACATGGCTTCACTTCATATTTCTTTCAATTTGTACTTCTTACAGACTGAATTTTAATCGAAATGATATAGTTTTTTGATAAAATTATAGAATATGATATGCCTTTCAGGAATCAAAAAAGAATAATTCACCTTTCAAACGATTTAATGTTTAATTGATCAAAATATATATCTTGTTGGTACGAAATTCTGCCTGTCCACACTTTTTTTGCATAAATATAAGCGTTAAGTTAGCATTTTTATATTATGACGTCATCACACAGAATCTGTTTGTCTTTTCCAAAATGGTGAATTTAAATATTGTGAAAATTTGAGAAAGATCCGTTAAGAAATGAAAAAGTTATCTTCATTTTTCGTTTAAAAAATTAAAATCATTTTTTCTTCAAAATATTACAGTCCACACCCGGTTTTAGCATAGAAAGTCGCATAATACGGCTTGCGTGATTCTCATTTAAAAAGTCCCAAATCAGTTATTTGGAATTCTGATAGGCAAAGTATTTCATGGACATACGTGTTCAACTGAAAACGAAAAATTGTAGAAAAATATGATTTTGCTGTCGAGATATTGCGGTTTTAAAAGTAAGTACGCATGTAAAATGCAGTAAAATGCCGCGATGTACAGTATCTGACGTCGTATCTTATATGGACATTCTACAAATTTTGAACTGCATTGTCCAGCACGAATCGCACTCCTTCTTGGTGAAAATTCAAGACTGCCGCCAACATTTTAGACAATTATCACAGTCGATGAGAATATTCTGGTGAAAGGAACATCTATCTCATTAGAATAACGTATGGACGTCCGTGACAATTATATTCATTTGATGATTTTTTTCATTCCCTTTTCTCAATAAAATAGATAATATTTCTACCCTGAAAAATATCTAAAAAGAAGATTTTGGTTGTTCAGTACCACCCATTGTTAAGATTTCGTCCAAATTTTCGATAAATCAATAAAATATGCTCATTTCGTATAACTTATATATGTGGCATATATACATATCAGATGTCTATCCTTTTTTCATCATAATATAAGAGGTTTGTATGTTTTAGTAGAAACGTATTCCTTTCCAAACATTTAGATTTAAGAATTTCTCCCATTAGTGATATTGTTCAAAATCAAAACTGTGTTTTTGCGATATATTGAACTGTTGAAGTAAGTGTGTAATAGTTTGTAGTAGAGCCAAGATTTGATCTGTATCATGTACGTACCCTGCATAAAAAAAATTCGTTTTTAGTGTGCCATAGATGTCAACCATTAACTATTGCAGAATCAAAAAAAGTTTTGTGAAAAATTAGGATAATGTTTAAAAATTATACACGGGCCAATAAATAACTACTCAATGCAGACAGGGAGTTTTAATTGCCCAAAAACTGAGTATCAAAATGCATTTGTATCTCTTTAGTATCTTGCATGACTCGTTCATATGAATTCTTTATTTCTACCTCGTTCCCAATACATTCTGAGACAGTTCAACCTTTGCCCCACGTCCTGTTCGTCGTTAGTACATTGTCACTCGATTTAATTGCCACGCGGTCCTAACTTCGACCGTTAATTTGAATTTTTGACGTACCGAATATTTGAAAATCAAGGATTACGAGTCTCATACTGCACCGTTTTTCTTCAAACTTGTTCCATTCAAAGCATGACAAAAATCTCTTTCTGATGGTACGTTATTATCTTAAACAGAGTTCCTACTTCCAGCGTAATTTTGGTCCCCAGCTGTAAGAAGGCCTTCTAACAGCTGGGAAGTGCGGACCAAAACGCTGCTAGAACGAGAGACTCTTTACAATAAAGTAATGCACTGACAGTGCAATTTTGTTTTGCTTTTAATGGTATAATGGAAGAAAAAAGGTGCAGTATCAGACTCGCAATCCTTGATTTTCAAGCATCTGGTAGGTCAAAAATTCCAATTAACGGTCGAAGACCGCGTGATTGCAGAAAGTGATGACCACGTGGAAATTTTGGAACTACCCTTTCGGGTAGGCAAGTAGACCCCAAACGGTTCTAAGTACTTCCAATCCGTCCATACAGTTTAAGCCCGTTCTCGAGAGCGTAGTGAGAACTAGTTTGGTGTGATTATAGGGTCAGATACTGAAAGTGTAAGCATGGACGACCTCCCACCGTCCAATGAATACAGTGGGTTCAGAATCAGAACGCGTTTCAGACGGCGTTCTGAAACAGCTCACTATAGCTTATTCCTTAAATTTTGACCTGAATGCTTTGTACGTTGAGAGACGGGACGGGACACGACAAGTGTGACAGCGCCATTAGCATTAGGCGCACGATGGGCACATTTTAACTTGGTATGAGTAGGGGGTAATTTATGAGGATCAATAGGACTCAGTCGGATTCAAAATGCAATTTTTTATTTTATCATTGGTTGCATTTTCTGTTCCTGAAGAATAACGTGGATTGCATATGTGTCCCCGATTTGTGGGAATTACACCCCAGTCACATTTCCAACGGCCACCGTGTGGTCTATCATTTCTGCGGCCAATAGCTTTTCCACGCTCGCCGTAGAAATTCTGCGCTCTCATACTTTTGCAGTCACATTTCCCACGGCAGCCGCCCGCTGAATTTTAAATTTCTGTTGATAAATAATACTTTTTTTCATTTTATTTACATCAGGGCAATTTATAAATGTTATTCATAGTGC